CAGTAACGTAGGTTGTGTTATACGATACTTTCGAAGTCTGTACTATTATGTAAGGTTATTATAGCACGAAATCGGAAGGACAGATAACCCATAATTGATTTTCATTTGTAACACCCCTCGATGAGGGACAAAAAATAATGATACCGGGCGGCAAAGCCGCCCGCATTCGCAAGTTCTAGTTTTAAAATCAAGAAATGCAAATCCATGATTATAATTTGTCTTTGTTTATGCTTAAATTTTAATATATGTTTACATTATTGCTGAGCGCATTTAATTAGTGATTCATAAAATATTATATTTAGCACACGGAAAATATTCTTATCCACCAGAAGAATATTAAAATTTCGGACTTCGGATTTTCAAGAAAACTTGATATACAAAAAGTAAAAATTTTTATGGAGTCATTCCTTTTGTCGATCCTCAAAAGCTCAATAACTTCAACTATAAGTGCGACAAAAAATCAGACGTTTATAGTATCGGTGTGCTTATGTGGGAGATCTCAAGTGATGGACAAATTCCATTCCCTCAGGCAAATTACGCTATAATTGCAGCAAGTATCATTTAAGGTTTACGCGAAGAACCTATCTTAGGAACCCCTATGGATTACATTAATCTTTATTCAAAATGTTGGAATAATGAACCAGATGAACGTCCTTCCATGGAGGAAATCTTTCAACAATTAGAGTCAAAATATTTAGAAATGGCAATGATACTGATCGAAGTTTCGAAAAAAAATAACTCTGATCTTAAAAATACCGATATTGAGATATTGATCTATTAATACAACATTTTCTCTCATTAGATGGTGAAATTTGCAATGCAGCAGGAAGTAGAAATTTGGAACTTCATGTCTATTTTCTTACTGCCCTAGATCAAAATTTTGAGGCTGAAGTAATGGATACAAACATTTCTCGTCCACCATTTCCTCCACAGTCACTTAATATTCGTGAAATCATTAATGAGTCAATCAGAAAATATAGAGCTGTGAGAAGCTCGAGAATCTCGAGAACCTCAAAAATTACAAACGCATATCTTTTATACAGAAAAGAATATACTTCTACGTTTAAAAATTCGAATCTTGGGCATATTTCGACGCTTTCTAGTGAAGCATGGAAGAAAGAACCACACAAAATAAAAAACGTATACAGAAAACTTGCCGATTTTATTAATGAAAATGTGAGAAAAGAAATACCTTATTATTTCGTTGGTACCAGGGAAGAAATCAATAACGAATCACAAAGCAATCTAGATTATATATTTTAAAAAATTAAAAGAAATTATTTAGACTTTTTCAAACATAACAATAACTTATATAATACGAAATATATTTTTTTCTTTTTTGGCTTTGTTAATAAATTTCATGGTTTTTTCTTTATATATGTTGCAAGTAGAAACGGAATTTAAGTACTTTTAGAATTTCTTAATAACATTATAGTTTTAGTGTAGAATTTATTTTATAGAAACTTATACTCTAATCCTAAAATATTAAGAAATTCCGAATTCATTTAATAAATACGTCTTTAATCTACACTCTTAATATCTTATTATAGATTATATGAGTACGGCAAGTAAAAAGCCCGTAAGTTAAGTTTTGAAGTCCGGCACATTAAATTTTTAAAATATTAACGAGAGATGAGCCATTGCACAGAATTTCTAAAAGACTATATAGTATAATTTTTATAAACGAGGCAAACTGATGCGTATAATTATAGTACATGCATCGATTCGGTTTCGCTCCAAGATTATCCAATAGTTTCAATAAACATTATTGTGGCAGTTGAAGCTAAAGTTGGCTGAAGCTGAGGTTTTGAAATATTTTAATATTAAATTTTAAAAATTTTTTGGACCTTTTTTATCGTTTTTTTTACAAGTAAAAGGTTTAAGGGTAGTTTTATTAATAAAAGAGTACAAGTAAAGGGTTTAGGGTAGTTTTATTAATAAGAGAGTACAAGTAAATTTTAGTAGATATTGTAGATTTAAATAGCCCCCAATCTCAGCTTCAGCCAATCTCAGCTTCAGCCGCCACAATTAGTGTGAAGTGAGTTCTCTAAAAACGACTTTTAAACTTTGAATACATAATTAATTATGTAGAATATTACAATATCTACATATTTAATTATGAGTGCAAAATATGTTAAACTGGCTATTTTCGTAAAAATTTACTTACATATTCACCTTCAACCGATTGTTCAAGGACTAAACAGAACGTTTCAGCGATAGTACTTTTTTACAGTATAACATAGCCGTTGATTTATTTTATTCTCATATTACTCATATAGAAACTAAAAAGCTCTTTTATTGAGCGTTTTATTTATTATTTTTTATAGCCAAATGATATGGCCAACTTGCATAACGATAATGCTTCAATGTATTGCTGAATTTGAACTATAGAGGAAGTTTATGTAGTTAGCAAAATCTTATTTTTATTTACTGGTCTCAAGCAATATTATTTATTTGAAAGATGTGATTCTATTCTTCCTTATCAATTCAACTAAAGAAATACCATTTTCTGATAACTTGTCAAGATTTTGTTGAATGGCATGAAAATTTATTATTATTATTTTTTTAATATAATATGACTATATGCAAATTATATTAAGAAAATTTTTGTTTTGAATCATTATTTAATAGATCCTTATCTTAAACTTCAATATTTGAATAATTTAACATTTTGACAACAAAATCAACAGAATACAGTACTCCTTTTTCTATTAAGATACTAACATATTTTTAAAAAATTTAATAATAGCCTGGTAATTTCAATATTTAAGGCCTTTTAAAATGTTACTCTATTAATCTGTAGTATTGAAAATAGCTCCAAATATTGAAACTAAAAGAAAATTATCATTGTTTCCTTTCTCAAAATTTGTAAAAATTTAGAAAATTTTTATTGCTGATTGCTTATCGCGGTTTGTAAACTTTTATAATTTTGCAAATCAAGAAAAAGAAATCGCACGATTTTTAGGCAATTTCTGTTATTTTATTTTATTTTTTTTTTTTGATGAACTGCAACAATTACAAATTTTGCAAACCGCAATAACTATCTAATACATAAACTGATATTGAAATATTATGGAAATTTGTTACAATTATTAGTTTTTTTGAATAGGAACTAGGTGTTGGCGATTAATGCTCCTAAGACTCGGTTCGAATTGGCTCTGTCCAAACAGTTCAGGTTTGTATGCACAATTTTTTTGAACCGAGCACGATTGGATCTCATATAATCCTATCAGATAATACCCAATAGGATACGCTATAATAATAACTTATGATGAATCTTTAATCAATAAAGATGCCAAAATCTCTAAGTAAACCTTAATCACGTAGCTGCCCAATATAAAAGTATATACGTCGTGGCTGAAGCAACTTCAATTGACTGAAGTTGCACTTGACTGAAATTAGCCCCTAAAATCAAATCATCTTACACACATTAGTTGGGTTAAAAAATTTAAATTTGCATATAATTTACTTTTTTATCACTGTTTTATGTTATCTATTTTTTTGGGTTATTTGTGTTGGGTTGATAAATTATTTAAAATAGGTGGTTTTGTGATTTAACCATGTATGTTGCTCGCCGCGTAGGCGCGACAATTTTCACATATATGCTGCTGTATAAACCTGATAGAATAGCGAACTTGCATAATCATGAGAAAATAATATGTAAATGGAAGCGTAGACGTTCTAATAGTCGCGTAGACGTGCAAATAGTAGCGTAGACGTTCTAATAGTCGCATAGACGTGCAAATAGTAGCGTAGACGCTACTTTTGTAGCGCAAGCATTCTTGAACTATAAAGACTAAATGTTCTGAGAAATAAATGATCCCTTGTTCCACTTTCGAATAAAATTAAATACTTATCTGAATATTCTTTTGTGAATTATCTCTTGCATTCGGTTTTAAATTTAATAAACCTTTCAAGACACAACTTGGCTGACTGAATTGACTCGTAAAATCGATTCGGCTTATTGAGACTTAAATTCTAATGCATTAGTGTATTAGTGGAATCAAATATTACCATTCACTTTGATTACTTGTGAAAACTGTGATAGAATGAGAATTAAGATTAGTTACAAGTCTCTTTTGGTTCTTTACCCAATAACCTTAATCATATATATCACTTTAATCTATCACCCGATATTACTATATCATCACCTTTCCTCTAATCGCACTTCTAATCGTCACCCATCGTTCGATACTGACATCATATTAATCGTGTATGATCCTTCTCATCTGACCTCTTCTTAAAATTATTTAAATCCTACCCACATTACTAGTCCAAAACCATTCTTCTCATCATATCTTGTTGGTGCCAAATTGGCTATTGTTTCATTCAACAGTTACGGTAACTTCAGTCAACTGAAGTAGCAACTTCAATCGGATGTAAACTTCAGTCACAACATATATATATTGGTCATTATTATTGGAATAGAATAAGAGTAACAAGTAATTGCAAAAAGTAATGAATAGCAAGAAATTAATATAAAAAATGTATATTTCTTTAAAAAAAATATAATTAAAATAATTATTAAAGAATGAAACCAAATGTTAAAATATTTATTGTCTAGTCTGAAGCTGGAAGTTTTAACCAGTTTTACCACAAAATCCCGACATCCAAAATCCCCACAGGCAATAATACTGGCATCACCCGATGTGCCAATTAAAAATTTAAAGTCTAACAATGATTGTTAATGTTAAATACTAATTGTCACGTCAGGATTATGGTTTTCGAGATTTTGGGTGTCGGGATTTTGTGGTAAAACCGTTTTAACCGTTTTAACATGAAATTTTCAAATTTCTTTGGGTGTAGTTTTGATAATAAGAGTATGGTAGGATGTAAATTGAGGTCCGTAATTTCCAGCTTTAGCCGTTTCCGATTTCAGCTGCGACATTCATTATTGATAATATTTATTACCAAATAATGCTAAATAATGTTAAACTATTTAACTTCGTTAGCAACGAATTGGTGAATATATGGGGATGTACGCAACATAAAAATTGTGATTTTTAAATCAGATAATAGCATAACGAAAACTAGGTCGATAGTTGTTGAAAAAAACACACGGTGTTTAAAAATTTTTAAAATGATATAAACTTGCAGAATTTTAATATATTAAATTGATAAAAGGTTTTAATTTTACATAGATATAATTGATAAATTTATTATTTAAATAAATATAGTAAAACATAACTTAATTACAACAAATAAAAATAAAAAAATTATACAATCGTGAATTGTTATAGAAGCAACCTATACACCATTAAAGTTAGAAGCTTTAGATAAGATCTACTAATTTTGCTTCTAATTTTATAAAGCACATAATTTTAATAGTCAAAAGTAACTAAATAGGCCTGATTTTTGCAATATATTAGATGATAACAAATTAATTAAGATAAAGATGGATCAATCCTGGAAAAACAGAATATCTGTTTTTTTAAACTTGTTACGTGATTATTCGGTATTGAAATCAGTTCAGACTAGTCTTTATAAATACTGAAATAATAAATTTGTTGTTTCTTGTCGCCTGTTTTGATTAATGGTTATATTTTTAAACTATTAGAAATAACTTAGGAACTGATATTAGTCCAAAAACATCAATAGACCATTCTTATTTGAACAAACCAAACCAGACTGATTATCCCTAATATGTTTATTCATAGCATTTCATCATTAGCTATAGAAATGAAAGCATTTATTTATATGTTAAATTTATTAAATGCTTACATGAAATATCATTATTCAGGAATCGAAAAACCACATAGTCCAGAATCTAAAAAAAAAATCAAAAAGTTATTAAACTTTCATCAATTAACTAAAATCAGACATAATAAATGTAACTATTCACCATAAATTTTTGGCAATTTTGAAGATTGAGAATTAATTGGCTCCGAAAGGTTTTTAAAGTTAAGTAGTTTACTTGTTAGTTTATCTTTAGGACAAACTGGTAATTCAGTTGATAATGTTGGAATAATCACATCTGCAGACTGGAATGCTTTTAATATTGTCGATTCATTTTCATTTTCCGTGCTATTATTATTTAATATCCTATACCATTCTGTCAGTTTATTACAGATATCAGATGCTGTTGGTCTATTAGAAGGATTGGCATCCATAAATTGATTTGCTAATTGAATATAACAATCGGGAGTTCCTTCAGCAAATTCAGGACGTAATCCGTTACATATTTGAATGGCCAACGATTCATCATACTCAATATCATAATGAGGTGGTTTTCCTGTAGATATTTCAGTCATAAGAATACCAAA